CATACAACACCTCAAGACCAAGGAGCTTCCTGCCAGTCTCCAACTCTCACAAAAGTTGGTCACAAAGCAAGTTGAACAATCTGAGGCAATTGGTCAAACACGAACTGATGTTGCCAAACATCTCACTGACCTTCACCAAGCCACACAAGAGGCATTCCTAAAACATGGAAATGACCTTCAAAGACTGGGCCAGAATTTGGAGGCAACTAACCAAAGGGTTCAAAGGATCGAAAATGAAGTCAGAGATGAGGTGAGAACAGATCTGCTGGACGTCAACAACTACATCAAAGCATTATCTATCAAGGTATATGGCCTAGATCCATCAAAGAGAGCACAAGAAGAAATTGTTTCTAATCCAGAGATAGAAGCATTGTTCGATGAAAGCAAGACCCCTGCTCATGATGCCAAAAAGGGGGAAAGGACAACACAAGCAGGCCCCTCATCTAAAAGATCACTAGCAGCCAAGAAAGGAGCTGAAACCAGAATGAAGAACAAGCGGCTACAAGAGGAAATGGAAGTCCGTAGAAGAAAAGATAAAGAACCAAAGGCCAAGGAAGAGGCTAAGAAGAAATCAGAGGAAGACAAGAAAGATTAAACTAGATTAACTAGTCCGAAAGAGACTATAAACTATTGTACGCTAGAAATCAGAACAATGTACAAAACTTCAAAGAAAATCAATAAAAATGTTTGTGACTTGTGTTGTATAGTTTTGGCATCATCAAAAAGGGGGAAATTGTTAGTACCCAATTTTGATGAGATTTTGATGATGCCACTATACTTAGCACGTGTACATTGTATCTCATTTTAGTCTAGTATTAATGTGACAAAATAAATGTACAAGTTTTGAGACTAATGAAATATTACCGGTAAAGTAAAAATGCAATAAGGTAATTTTTATTTACCTTAATAGGATATTTAAATCCTACCGGCATATTTCATTTAGCTCAAAAGTTATTAATGCCAGGGTCCGGAGCATTGAAGACGCACACAAAGAGATATTTCAGCGAAGACAGATACATGGACCTACAGCATGGGCGCACAGTCTGAAGCCTAAAAAGAAATCTACAGTGGCTAGGCAGGCAAGACAAGCAGAACCCATACGCTCCGAAGAAGAAAATAAACAACAAGTTGTTTATCTTCTGCAAACAAAATTCAACGCACAAGATTGATCTATCCTAACCAACGGAAAAGATCAATTAACCGGAGAGCCTATAAATATAGGCAGAAATGAAAGTTTCTAATTAAGCCTGAGCATCCTAAGTAGAGAGATATTTCTTTGAGCAAAAAGTGCTGTTCTATTCACGACTCTCTGTTTAGACTCTTGCTTCACTAAACTTCTTAGTATCAAGCATTCATTGTCAAAATCCTAGAAGTTTAGTCCCTAGTTGGAGATTAGAACTTTCTTGTAAACCAATCAGATTATTGTTGTAAACACTTCAGGAGGACAGTTGTTCCTGGCCTGAGTGTGGTTAGATAGGTCAGGAGTACCTTTTGATCCCCACTAGATCAATTGAGAAAAACCTAAAGGATTGAGTAGCTTGGAGTGGTGTTGTACTCCTCGTGAAACACCTTCAATCTAGGCCAGAGTTGTCAAGGCTAGATTGGCACTAAGTGTATTGGGCTTAATACATTAGTGAAATCCATTTGAAATAGGATGGGACTGGATGTAGGAGGATTACACCACCTCTGAACCAGGATATATTGTGTGTTGATTTACTTTGAGTCAACAAAGCACACACTGAACACTTCTCACATAAAGATTGGAGTTTGCCAGCAGCATCCTAAGCAGTTATCTTAATTGACCCAACTGCTTATCCTACTGCTTAATTACTCACTCTCTTTGAGATACAAGAGCTTCACAATATCACAACAAAAGGGTCTGTTTCATTAAGTTTTCAGGAAATACCACTTAAGGCATGGCAGTTGCCTCAACAGTCTCCTAAGGACTACACAACTGCTGAGCCCACTGCTCACACAAAAGTATTTCCTGTGAACATCTTGACATTACTAGACATTTACATCTTTATCTCTAAGAAGTCTGTTCAAAATAATCTCTGTGATTCAGGGTGATAACCCAGCAGGTACCTCTACAGTTCCCTCACTATCATCCAACTGACCACTGCCTAAGTAAAACCCTCTACTTACTTGGCCCAAAGCACATCTTCAGAAAGCCCACATCATCCTGAGCTACACCATATAATCAAACCTTCCATACCTTCACCATTACTTCAGCAGGTGACTCAGCAGTTCCCTGGTTTCCACCCAACTACTGAGACAACTGCTCTCATTTAAGGTTGATTATCAATCCACCTCAGAACATCATCAGGAAGCTCTTCCCACTCCCAGAAAGATTCTGAATGAACCCTCATCATACTTCAAGTATTTGGTAAGCAGACGACTAAGCAGTTCCCTACTTCCTAGCCAACTGCCTAGCCAACTGCTCACCAATAAGCAAAGACTTCATCCATCACAGAAAGTTGTTACACATTACATAAAGGGTAAAGACTTCCGCTGTGCATCTATTAATCTCTCAAAAGATTATAGATCAACTCTTCTAGAGGGAAATATTTGTAAAGGTCGAAAAGATTTAAAAGTCTATTCACCCCCCCCCCCTCTAGACCTTTACCCTATCCGGGACCATCAAAAAATATTAAAAAAAAATATAAAGAGTGTTCATTTTTCTATTTCTGAGCTTTAAGTATATGGTTAAACACCGATCTATAAACCAAATCACCTACCAAACAAAGCCCGAAACAGAACAAGCCTTCGAAAGGTTTAGGAATTTATTTTCGAATACTTCTTCGGAGGAATCATCAAGTGCTAGTTCTCATTCTAGCGACACCGAAGAGCCAATCACTATGGCTCTTGAAACAAGAACACTGAGGGAGCTCACAGCTCCAAACTTGAATCAACAACCACTTTGTATTACCTTCCCTACACTTGATGACGGTAATACGTTTGAGCTGAAATCTGGGCTCATTCATCTGCTGTCATCCTTCCATGGCCTGAGAGGAGAGGATCCGAACAAACACCTCTCGGAGTTTCACGTCGTTTGCACAAGCATGTGTCCAAACGGTGTAACAGAAGAACAGATCAAACTGCGGGTGTTTCCATTTTCTCTAAAGGATACCGCAAAGGATTGGATATTCTATCTTCCTTCAGGAAGTATAGGTACATGGGCGGCCATGAAGAAAGCTTTCCTGGAAAGGTATTACCCAGCCTCTGTCTCCTCCTCTCTAAAAAAGCAAATTAGCAACGTGGAGCAAAAGGATGATGAATCGTTCTACGAATATTGGGAACGATTTAAGAAACTGTGTGCAAGTTGTCCATATCACGGCTATTCAGAGCAAGACCTCATCTTATACTTCTATGATGGTCTTTGCAATGAAGATAGGCGGATGATAAACGCCACATGTGGAGGGGGTATTGTCAACAAGACTCCTTCTCAAGCTATAAACCTTATCTTGGAGTTGGCCGAGAATTGTAGACACTATGATCGGCGGTCATCAAAACGAGTTATGGCGGCAGAATCCAACAACTCTTTGGAAAGTCAAGTAGCCGGCATGACTTCTTTGGTTAAAGATTTTCTCTTAAATCCAAAAACTCAAGAAGTCAAAGTCTGCGGCATATGCTCGACACAAGGGCACCCCACCGACTCTTGCCCAACACTACAAGAGGAGAACTCCGAACAAGTCAATGCTTTGGGGTTTCAAAATCAAAAGAGGTATAACCCTCAAAGCAACACCTATAATCCAGGATGGAGGGATCATCCTAATTTAAGGTACGGAAACTCTCAACCTCCTCAACCATCAAATCTTCCTCCTCCACAATATAAACAACAAGGCCAAACTTCAAACTCGAACATGTCCACCGAAGACATGATTCGATCACTTGCCATGAATATGGAAACGATGCAACAAAGTGTGGTCCAATTTCAAGAAACAACAAAATCCAGCATCCACAACTTGGAATGCCAAATCAGCCAAATCTCAAATGTCGTGAGTAGGCTTGAAGCTAAGGACTCGGCAAGGCTACCATCTCAAACGGAGCCGAATCCTAGGCAACAAGCCCATGCAGTCACATTAAGGAGTGGCAAGGAGTTGGTTATTGCCAAGGAGAAGGCAAAGAGTCACATTGGCGATGAGGAGGAAGAAGAGGAGTTGGTGGAAGTAACTCAACCGGAGGTGGAAGTTCAAATCTCAACCCCACCACCAGTCATCCCCGAGATTGAAGCACCCTTCCTCGAAGCTCTAAGGGAAACGCGAAAGCTGGAGAAGGACAAGGACGTCTATGAGACATTCTCCAAATGTGAGGTAAATATTCCTCTCCTTAACTTGATAAAGGGTGTACCTAGATTTGAAATTTTTTTCAAAGAACTATGTACAATAAAAAGAAAACATAGACTCAATGGACACTACAAGAAATTTGACAAAATGTTACAAAAATATTCGTCATACACTAGTAGAAAAAGCGCCTATAGTGACACTAATTTAGTGTCGCTGAAACTTTCAGCGACACTAAAAAAGCGTCGGGGAAAGTGTCGGCTAGCGACACTATATTTAGTGTCACTGATGCGGGGACGGTTTTGTGTCAGCAAATAGTGACACTAATTTATCGGCTAAAATAGCGACATTTATGCATCAAGAATACATTGTGACATTAATACATCATAGATTTTTATGACACTTTCAGCATCATAGATTTTTATGACACTTTCAGTATCATACATTTTTATGATACTTTCGGCATCATAGATTTTTATGACACTTCAATGTCACTTGGTTGGTTTTGTTAATTGGGCCTATATAGGCCTAGATAATATGCGCATGGTAGCTTTAGTAGAATTCAAATTTATTGCTTACTTCATTTATAAATATTATAACATCCAAAAATTAATGGATACCCAAAACACATCATTTAGCATATAATATTCAGTAACAATTTCACATTCTTGTTCAATTACATTTCCTACCGCCGGATAAAAGATATAGAAAAATTCCAGCATGCAATATTCCCGCAAAAAACCGGCTATTGAAATTCAGCAAAAAAACTACTACCAAGCATCATTGAAGATGCTAAAATACAAACAAGTCACATTCCCAACAGGTACCAATGTTTAGTTATCAAAAGTTTGACCTGCCTCTACATTCTACAAACATAACATAACACCGACCATTCTAACCGCCATCAACAATAATCAGAAATGCATCTCCCCGTGCATATCATCAAGCCTTTGTAGGATCCGCTTGCACACTACATATCAAACAAAATATAATATTACATCCATATATTATGAAACTTATTTTCGGTAAATTTTAAATGTGAACTTACTTTTTTATCAAAGTAGCAGCATACAAAGCCCACTCCTCACGCACTTGTAAAATATCATCTTCGGTATACTCCTTGACGGTAGAGAACTTCAATGTAAAATTAATATAATTAGCACTTACTATCATTACAAGATACACTAATTAATTAATTGCGCTCACATTCTATTTCAAACGATTCACGTCAGATACAATATCCTTCATGTACTTCATCACAAAGCAACCACACTCAACTCCTCCTGTTTGCTTAGGGCACTGCATATATTCAATTTAAATAGACAGTAAATACAAACTAAGATTTACTAAAAACAAAGAACAAGTTATAGTAAAAAAATAATACAGTCAAGTATTGAATGTATTGCAATAATTCACTTCTTTGGGCACTGCATATATTCAATTTAAATAGACATTAAATACAAACTAAGATTTACTAAAAACAAAGAACAAGTTATAGTAAAAAAATAATACAGTCAAGTATTGAATGGATTGCAATAATTCACTTCTTTAACTCACTTCTTTAAAACAAATTGCAATAATTCAATAGGAGTATGCTTCATGGATTGGCCTTTCCAAAGGTATTTTATTCTTTTTTATCTTTTGGACCAGATTCCCTTGGGAGGTTGAGCCATGATTTTTATGCAACTTGAGACTTGCAAGTAGGTATATGGAATGGCTATTACCCTATTTGCGCATGACATGTGAAACAGATAGATAACATCACCATTTGATCCAGATTTTTCACTATAATATTATTATTCATAATCTGGAATCATTACTCACTCTCATTAATTCAGAAACTACCTTCTTCATATCCTGTGCATCTACCCTCTATCATTTACATTGATTTAATTAACTAACAAACTAATAATAATAGAATTATAAACAAATATTTTCTGGCCGGGACAGTTCATACTGATTAAAACTTGTAGCATACAAATCACAGCCGCTAATTTAAAAACTTGCAAATGATAAATATTGTTCCTAAGGATGGAGTATCTAAAATAAGAATAGAACTTGCAAAAGGGATGATCTGTCTTTCCATATTTCAAAAATGCAGTTCCAATTATGGACCTTACATGTAAGGTCAAAGGGATCTCACATGTATGGTAAAATGCTATTCATATGAACAATATAGAATTAAAAACAGCTCCTAAACACATTCAGATTACATAAAATTAATAGGTGTCACATCTAATTGGTAGCACAGACTGCACAGTTGAGATTCAGCGAAGTTTCACGGTTGCAACTTACAAGAGATGAGTATCTAAATTCAGAAAATAACTGAACAACCATGGTATATAACAAAGACCCATTAATTTTAGTGAACTGCCTTTCCGTACTACAAAACACCAGTTCAGATTTCTGATCTTTAGTCAAAAGGATCTCATGTACAAATCACAGCCGCTAATTTATACTAAAAGTGATAATAAACATCAAAGGATACATACCATCACTCTCACCCATTTTAAATTCAACCTTTTCTTGGATTTCTGGGCATGATTAATCGTCACCCCTCTGAAAAGGAAACACAGTCATTATTAAAATTCAACCGATCCAATATTTTCTCATCATTTAAAGGGCCTATGTAACTTAACTGATTCATGATTTCCTCCAAATCCTTCGATGGAATTCCTCCCAAGGAATCTAGGTAGTAAATCGTTTCAGCCGCCATGTCGATGGCGACCAACACCCAATGATTCCTACATAACAATGAAACTATATGTAATTACAAAAGCACCATTGTTTGCAAATACAAGTCACTTGCAAAAGAGATTACTTACCCGGTATTATAGGGGATTAAAGTCATTTGTCCAAGCAAGGAAATATCCAAAAGATCAGCTATGTATTGTGACCTCCTAGTAACCGCTTGGTGTGATGCCCTCTTTGGTATTGCTATGGCAGCAGAAGTACCAAACTGGACTGGCATGTCCCCTCCATCAGCCTCCATTTTCTCATGCAAGTACCTATTAAATTATTACTAATCAAGTTGAATTAAGTTCATTCATTTTGATGTTTATAATAAGATACTCTTACCACTTTATACTGTAATACAATAATGATTTTAATGAAATTGAATGTAATATATAATAAATGGGAACTTATTATCTCGCCCAAATTTCAACAACTGAATTTGAAACCTGCTGAAAGTTGATAACAGAGCGGCAAACCTCCTTGTTAAACATAGTTTTTGTTTGGAATCCAAAAATTTCAGCATCTTGCTTGATGTTGTTCATCTCTCCTAAACAATTTTCCACTAAAATGCAAAACATCATCATGTTAGCGCTTTGTTCCTTTCTTTTTTCAGCAACGGACCTGGTCATTCTTTGCACATTTAGCTGGTACTTAGCTTTCATTCCAGTCCTTATCTCTTTCACAAATACCACCTCACACCCCTGTTTTTGTTTTCCCTCCACTCGGTCATTCTCCATATTTGCTATTGACTGATCTTCCTCTTCATTCATATCCTGTATGTAGCATAAAGTGTGCATGTAATTTACAAACATTACTATCGTATTTAATCAAATAAACATATGCAACTAGACGTCTAACCATATCATGGGAGTGAGCATTGGCTTGTCCTAAAGTATCCGTGTTTATGTGCTGAGGGGAATTTCTGGGAACGCTTCCAAATAGCTTCTTCCGATGAGTAAATACTGGTTTCTCCACCTCTCCAACAGTCTATATCATAGAAGTTAACTATTTATTAATAACTATATCTCATTAAACATTCACTTAGAGATGTAGTTGTACATACCTTCTGCATTCCATGACTCTCACCCTCGGGTTGTTCATTATTACCCTCCATTTCAGCATGTTTCAACTTCAACCTGGGAGATTTTCTAGGAGCACTGCAGCGTTCCTTCAAAGGACTAAGTATCGACTGCTCAACGTCATCACCAGCCTTAAAATGACAAATACGTATTAAACATAAAAGCGTAAATAAGGTGCAAAATTATCCAGCAGAAGTTATGTGTGTACCTTTCTTTTCTGAGATTTATTGGCATTGCTGCAACTACCAATTTCACTAAAAGCATTGGACACATGATCTTTCATTTCACTAAACTTCTGCAACATCATTTCATACCTTCTATCACATACGTCTTGTGCTTTGTCCTTCTCGGTTTTGGTTGCCTTTGGCGTGTAAAAGTATCGTGTTGGGGTAATGAAGTGCCCCAACCCCTGTACTCTACTGCCATTTGGTTTTTTCTGAAGAGCAACTGAGAAATCGGGGGGAATACTTTAACCAAAGAACTTTGTTCAGTTTAATGTTATTACTTTCATATTTTCTACACATTTTAATATTAACCAAAGAACTTTAGTTAACAAAACTGAAAAAATATGTTTAGTAACTTTGTTTTAGTCTATTTAGTTAACGTATTGAGTACTCTCCTAGTTTAATAACAAACTAAAAAGATTTGTATAAGAACTTTGTTTTGAACTCACTGATAAACTAATAATGCCTTGAAAGGATAGTAGATTTCATTTTCATTTACAACTTTGTTGGACCAATAAAGAATCAAATTGTAGCAGGGATAGAGCAAGTACTCACAAGAAAATGATAAAAACAGGTCCGCCTTTAGAACTTTGGAGGCCCTAGATGAAAAAAATAATATCAATAAATTATGTTAATGTCATCCTATAACAAAAAATAAAATATATATAGATATTTAGTTTGGTCTTCTATATTTTTTAGTGAGAATCACAAATCAAACAAAATAACTAATTTGCTATGATCACCGAAAGATAGATAAATATTTATATTGGATGGGTCATTTCTTGTTGACTCAGCAGCTTCAGAAGCCGTGGCTGGAGTTCCACCTTCTATTTCAGACTGCAGTATATAAAAAAAATTATCTGTTAAGCATATTAATTAACTTAAGTCTGAAACATACTAACTGTAAACATGTAAACATGTTGTACATGTAAACATATTAAGCATATTAACTGTTAAGCATACTAACTTAAGCATATTAACTGTAAACAAGTTTAATATTAATTGTTAAGCATACTAACTTAAGCATATTAACTGTAAACAAGTTTAATATTAACTGTCAGTAATGTTGTACATGTAAACATATTAAGCATATTAACTCTTAAGCATACTAACATGTTTTACTTATTAACTGAAGTCTGAAACATACTAACTTAAGCATATTAACAGTAAACAAGTTTAATAAGCATATTAAGCATATTAACTGTTAAAGTGTTAAACTGTAAAACAAGTTTAAGCATATTAACTGTTAAACTGTAAACAAGTTTATGTGTATAACTGTATAAGCATATTAAGCATATTAACCGTAAACAAGTTCAATAAGCATATTAAGCATATTAAGCATATTAACTGTAAACAAGTTTAATAAGCATATTAACTATTTTTACTGTAAACAAGTTTATGTTTCAGCATGTGTAAGCATGTAAGCAGTACAGAATGTTTATGTAGAGTACACAATAAGAGTCTACTGTGTTCATGTTTTACATGTGTACATGCTGAAAGATGCTTAAAAATGTGTACTTCACTACTTCTTAAATGTGAAAAAGAGATAGAGAAACATGTTTTACATACTTCTTAAACACATGTTTACAGAACATGTGAGAAGTAAAAAAAACATATTGGTAGTATGTAAAGAAGAAGTAGCCGTTGAAAAATGAAAAAATAAATAAAATGGAAGATGAAGGAGAAGAAAACTTACTTTGATCGGTGAGTGCTGGGCTGCTGCAAACTGCGGTTGATGTGGCTGGAAGCTGCGGTTGATGTGGAGGCAAAGGAGGATGTAGCAAGCAGGTACAGTAGAGCAGAGCAGGAGCGGAGTAGGAGGGTGTTTACGCTATGTGTTTATTGTAGGTTATTAAGTTGTTTTGACCTTATTTAGTTGGGCTTTGTTAAAAACGTGGGCTTCTTAATGGTCTTGTTTGACCCCACAAGTGAAAACAAGTTGTCAAGTTGTTTACTAATAGTTTTAAACTCCCTAATAGCAGTAACTTTTATCTTTTATAGTTTATTAGTTTTATTTAAGAGTAATATTTACATCAAGTAATCAAGTTGTCTAGCAGGGAGGTCTTTGATGCATCCTCGAATAATTTTTTCACACTATGGCATCATTTATCCAAGACTTATCCATTTGAATACTAATACCTAGTTTATAGTACAAACAAAAACTCAAAATAGTATACATAAACTACAAAACATGAAAATTAGCTTATAAATATTGTAATTTGGAGTTCTACGTTTCAGTTTAATGTTATAGAAATTAAATATATATATAATCCTCAAAAACTGAAGCACACATTTGAATAAACAAAGTAAATCAGTTTTTCCCTCTCCCAAGTCATACCAATATCTATAAATAAACAAAGCAAATCAGTTTGGGATATGTAAAAAAATTATACATTAATCATATTTCCTTATTGAATTAGAGTTGCAATTTGATATAAATGAACTCAAAAATATATTCTAATAGGGTAATAGTGTAATGTTTAAACAACTTGAAACTAAAAACTAAAATATTTTGATTACATTTTGTCCATACAACTCACTGATGTTAGGCTTCTCAAGTCTTTGAGGAGTTTTGTCAAACACATTGTATGCAAACAAGAATATTGAGTTACTTCATATATTTTTTTCACAAACTACTTAATATATATTGATCATGAGTTTCATCACACACATTCATAGGTAGAAATACACTCATAAGATGTTTACTAACTAACCAAAATCAGTTTCTAATTAACATAGTGAAATCGCAACATCCATTACCCATTTAAAATATAAAATCAGTATATGAACCTGAGAGAGAAGATCGAGGGAGTAAGGTGGCCGGGCGTAGTGCAGCAACGGAGTACGATGATGGAGTGTTGCGACGGACTCGATGTATCTAACCGTTGAAGAGTGCCATGGAGTAAATCGATCGACGATGGAGTATGTGCTCTAGCTCTAGAAGAAGAATCAGCCCGTTGAGAAGGATATTAGCGACGAGTAAGGCAGCTATCGGAAGAAATTAGCTATGGAAATCGATTGGAAGAGCAAGCTAGGGTTAGTTTGTGCGGAAGAATGAACGATGGAATTTTTTTGTGGGATAGGATGGGTTACGCGTTAAATTAGCTAAGTTAAAAAAATTAAAGCACACACCTAGCTAGCTACATACCCGGCCCATTAAGTGTCAGTATTAGGTAGTGATGCTTTTTTGTTAGAAATTAGTGACACTTCTATGTCATTGGTAGTATTCTGTCAGAAAAGTGTCACTACGAAAGTGTCACTGTAAGCCAGTTTTTTACTAGTGATATAAGCTTCAAAATTTGTCACTAAAACTTTTATGTGACAATGTTTTATTGTCACAGTGATTGTCACCGTAGCTCCGTGGTAAAATGTATATAATGACACTTTTTAAATTTGTCATTATATAATTCACTATAGTGACGATTTAGTACTTTGTCATCAAATCGATCACTTTTAGTGACATTGATTGTGTCACTTTTAAATCAATAATTTTGTCATTTAATCATAAATTTTGTCATCTATACTTAATACAATTAGTGACAAATTTATAAATAGTCAACAAAACATAATTTTCACTGACGACTTATATTAGAATCCGGTAATCAGTAAATTACAATAACAAGAGAATTGTCACATTTGCATCACTCATTTTGTCATACTTACACCAATTCGCCATTAATTGAAGTAATTTTATTACGATCTTTTTTGTCACCATTAACGTAAGCACAATGAGTAAAAAAGAAATAATAGCATACTCATAGAGTCATAGGTGTCAAATTTATTTGTCAAAACTTTGTCAATATACAGTGACAATTACTCCGTATAAATAATTCTTGTCACTTAAAATTCAAAACATGTACGATGTCGAATCTCGAATCGTTTGCCAAAGTTGGCTACTTCAAACTTTTGAT